CCCGACCCTCCCCTTGCCCCCCAACCTCCTCTCTCCCTCCTAGACCTCCCCTTCCCCTCCCCAGACCACCTTCTCCTCCCCAAAGCCTCCCTCTCCATCTCCAGACCCCCCTCCAGACCTCCCCTTCCCCTCCCAGACTCCCCTCTCCCCCCAGCCCTCCTTCTGCCCCCACAAACGCCCTCCCCATACTCACGATCCTCTTGAAATTCTTCTGCCACATGGCCACCATGTGCAGGATGTCGAGCCTGCGGGAGATGGGGATGGACGGACATTCAGCGAGGGGACCCCAACCCGGGGACCCCCACATCTCCAAGGGCTCCCCCCAACCTTGTCCCCCAGCCCCACCTGGGCCTGACAGCGAAGACATCGGGATGAAGATCGGTCAGGCCCTGGTGTTCGTCATCGTGATGCCGCAGCGACTCCACCCAGGCCTGCACGGGGGAGCGGTGGGGGGGGACGGGGATGCTGCAGGCCCGCAGGACCGGGGACCGCGGCAGCACTGGCAACAGCAGCTTCTCTGGGGTTGGGGGGGACGACACAACATGCATGAGGACAAGCAGGGACCGTGGTAGCTCCACCTGGAACCTTGGGCTGGGGGCAAGGGGGGGCCCCAGCCACCCCAAGACCACGGACATCTGTCCCCGGGTTGTCCCTGCACCCTCAGGGTGGTCCTGAAGCCTCGACCCCATGGCCACCCAGTTCCTGAAGTCCTCAGGATGGTCCCAGCCCTGTGGCCACCTGTCCCTGATGTCCCCAGGACGGCCCTGAGCCTGTGGACACCCTGTCCCTAATGTCCCCACAGCCCTGCCCCCCCAGAAACATGTCCCCACTGCCCAGACCCTTGTCATCCCTGTCCCTGATGTCCCCAGCCCCACAGACACCCTGTCCCTGATGTCCCCACAGCCCTGGCCTCATGAAAACCTGTCCCCACTGCCCAGACCCAGGCCATCCCCATCCTGATATGGTCCTGACCCCACAGACGTCCTGTCCTTGATGTCCCCAGGGAGTGCCCGCAGCCCTGACCCCGCCGAAACCTGTCCCCATTGACCTGACCCTGCTCACCTCCACTCCCGCTGTCCTCAGGATGTCCCCAACCCCACGGACACCCTGTCCCCA